AAAGCTCAGGTGGCGCCCGTAGCTCAGTTGGCAGGGCACTGGCCACAAACACCGAGGGTGGCGAGTTCAAACCTGGCCCAGGCCAGGTAAACAACAATGACAACTGCAACAACAACAAAAAATAGCCAGGCGTTGTGGTAGTTGCCTGTAGTCCCAGCTACTTAGGAGGCTGAGGCAAGAGAATTGCTTAAGCCCTGGAGTTTGAGGTTGCTGTGAGCCGTGACGCCACAGCACTCTATCCAGGGTGACAGCTTGAGGCTTTGTCTCAAAAAAAAAGGCTGGCTCCATGCCTGTAGCTCAGTGGTTAGGGTGCCTACCACATATACTGAGGCTGGCAGGTTTCAACCTGGTCAGGGCCTACTGGACAACAATGACAACAATAACAAAAATAGCTGGGCATTGTGGTGGGCACCTGTAGTCCCAACAATTTGGGAGACTGAGGCAAGACAATCACTTGAGCTCAAGAGTTTGAGGTTGCTGTGAGCTGTGATGCCACAGCACTCTACTGAGGGTGACATAGTGAGATTCTGTCTCAAAAAAAGCTCAGACTAGGATAAGGGAGGAGCTGGGAGCAAGCCCACCTGGTAGAGAATGTCTTTTCTGGAGACATCCTCCTATGGCCGAGGACTTGGACTTGTTTGGCAGCACATAGAGGAGTGGTTTCCACCCTGGCTTTACAGCCCCTCTGCCTGCTATGAATCTGGCTCCATCCTTCTTAGAGTGTGGCCCTCAGCAAGTCATTTACCCTTCCCTACCCTCAGTTTCTTCATCTGCAAAATGGGGCTAAATAATAGGACCCACTGGCACTACTATGACCTAATATGCCCATAGAGTACTTATTGAGCAAGAGGGCAAAAGGTAATAGCTGTTACTGTTTACTGGCAGGAGGGCATGCAGACAGGGTGGTTGGCTGTCTGGAGGGACTTACAGCCTGCTCGAAGCTCAGCCTGGTCCAGGATCTGCAGGGTGTTGCCCCAGTTCATGCAGCAGAAAAGAAAGGCCTGAGTGCGGTTGAAGTGGGGCAGGGTGAGGGTAGATTCCTGGGTCCCATCGGGTAGGCGCCGTTGCTGTCCCCCAGGTTGAAGCTCTGTTCCCAATCTCCACAGAATTGGTGACTCCAGGCCCACATGGCTGCAATTCTTGTTGATGATGCAGGAGGCTGTGACGGAATCCCCCAGGCGTACAATGGGGGCCGAGAGGCTGATGTGCCCGCACGCCTCCAGGCCTGGGGTGGAAGAGAATGGCCCATGTGTGGGTGATGCCTCGGTCTGGGAGAGCTGGACTATAATCTAGGCCTTTGAACCCCCAGAGTCAGTGTCTTCATCTTCCTGTCTCACCCTTTAAGTCATGAGGGCTGAAATGGGGAGGATGTGTACGGAGATGGCCAGAGGCCATGGGAGTGAGACAGAGATGAAGACATGCTGGCAAGTGTTTATCAATGGGTTCTATATAGAAAAACACATGAACGAAAAACACAAGTATAGTCTAGTGAGGGTGAGGGGAGATGAGGCAGAAGGGAGGGGAGGAGCGAAGGTGATTGGCGGGATCTCTCCTAACGGGCACAGTGTGAGGGTGTTCAGCACGCCCCCTTGATGAAGGGCTCAACTACAACTTGAGCTTTACCTTAGAAATGAAAACAATGTAACTTTAACATCTGTACCCTCATATCAGTCTGAAATTAAAAAGAAACAAAACAGACCCTGGTTTGTTGCATATGCCGCTTCCTGTGGTATAAATACGCCCACCATGGCTACTAAAGTGACATCATTGACTGTAGGGTTAGGAAGAAATGTGTACAGTCAGCTCTTGTGAGCTGACTCCAGCAGGCCACCAGATAGAGCTCACTCTCCTCTCCAGTGCTGTCCCCGGGGATGGTGAAAGCAATGATTAGAATGATAAGATGCCTGTAGCTGCAGCAATCTTTTCACAATTTAAATCTGTTTGTGTTACCCCATCTGGTTTACAGCACTTCAGTGGCGTATCACTGCCCTGAAAGGCAGTGCGGTTGACAGCAAAGAGCATGGATGTTGGAACTAGACTGCCCGAGGTTTAACTCTTGGTTCTTTTCTTTAACATAATAAATGTTAAGTAGAGAGTTTATTTGGGCTAAGTTTGAAGATGATAACCCAGGAGTATAGATTCAAGTTTCCCTGAATATATGCTCCCCAAATCCTGGTTCTATTGCTTCTTAATTCTATGCTCCTGGAATTTTTTTTTTTTGAGACAGAGCCTCAAGCTCTCCCTTTGGGGAGAGTGCTGTGGCATCACAGCTCACAGCAACCTCCAACTCCTGGGCTTAAGCGAGTCTCCTGCCTCAGCCTCCCAAGTAGCTGGGACCACAGGCGCCTGCCACAGCGCCTGGCTATTTTTTGGTTGCTACTGTCATTGTTGTTTGGTGAGCCCAGGCTGAATTCGAATCCGCCACCTTAGGGGTATGTGGCTAGTGCCTTAGCCACTTGAGCCACAGGCGCAGAGCCAATGCCCCTGGTATGTTACTAAGACTTTCTGTGCCTCAGTTTTCATATCTATAAAATGGGGATAAAAATATTCCCTTCTTTAGTGTTGCTGGGAGGATTAGAAGTAATAAAATACATATGTAAGTCACTTAAAACAGACAAGCAGGCATTTGTTGCCATCATTAGGATAAAAACCCACCTCCTTCACATAGCCCTTCTGGCCTGGCCCCTGCCTAACCCTCTCAGTTCTCTCCGCTCCAGCCATTCTGACTTGCCCCTGCTGTTCTTTGAAAACTCCACGATGTCTCCAATCTTTGGATCTTTGTGCTGCACCCTTTTGAGGCATTCTTTTTCCAGTCTTTTCCCACTTCTTTCACCTGGTTAACACTTAGGCATCTTAAGAGGACCAGAACAGACCAACAGCCCAGTACTTTCCCAAAGTGCTTATTATCCCTCCTCATCATAGAGTCTTATTTGCTTGTCTGTAGAGATCTTGGCTGTTTTGCTTATTGCTGTATTCCAGGGACAGAGTGGGACCCTGGTGAATATTTTTTGAATAAATAAATGACTAAGCATGCGCTGTGCCCACAATGCCTTCTCTCCTCTCTCAGCTGTGCTTAGGCTTGTTTTCCTGATGGGATGCTGAAGCCCTAAGAGGAGGATGCTTTGCCCAGGGCCACAGAGCAAGTTCATGATTCTCAGCATGGGGCTCCTACTGCTTCACAGACGCAGAGTTTCAGGCTGGAAGGAACTTTACAAATCTGTTTACTTCAAAGCTCCTCTTGATGCTGTGTCCTTTACAGCAGGGCTTGGATGGCCTATTTTTATATGGCCTGCCAGCTAAGAATGGCTTTTACATTTAAAGGGTTAAAAACAAATAAAACAAAACCCAAGTCAGAATGTGCAAGAGAGCCAGTATGTGGCTTGCGAAGCCTAAATATTACTGTCAACATTTGCCAACTCCTGCTGGGGAGCGTCCTTGTTAATCCTGGTCTCAGCTTGCATACCACTGGAGACGAGAAGCTCTCCACCTCTCAGAGCAGAGTTTCCATGGTCAGAGAGTACTGCCAGGGCTTCCTTATTTGGGGATGAATCCCATCTCCTTGTGGCTTCCACCTTGATCCTTTTACTGCCCACCCAGAAGGTCCTTTTTACAGCCCCACAGAGATTTATAGACAAGACTTAGAAGCCACTGGCCTTCTGCAGGCTAACCAGCCCTGGTCCCTCTTGGACAGTGGCTTGCCTATGGAGGGCTGTGTTGGGGGCCCAAGTACTCCATATCTAGGGCTCAGTCTTGAGTCTCTTGGGATTCTCTGGGAATCCCAGTAGCCATGTGGCAGTGCACAGAAGCAATTCACCTCCCACCCTGAATATCTCTCCCTTAACTCCCGTCTCTTCATAGCACCCCCACCTCTGGCCACACTTACTTCCCGGGAGCAGCAGGATGATCAGGGCAGCTGTAATTGGGCTGCAGGTCCTTGGCCTTGCCATAGCGCCAGTGTGATGCTCATCTGGAGGCAGAAGAGGTTGGTCAAGATCATGGGCTTTGGGAGGAAGACTCAAAATGATGCAAGTCAGGGACTTTGCACAGTGCCTGGCATATAGAAAATGACTATAAGTGCTGGCTACCGTTTTTTCTTTCTTTCTTTCTTTCTTTTTTTTTTTTGAGACAGAGTTTCTGGCTCCCTGACTAGAGTGCCATGGCTTTATAGCTCACAGCAACCTCAAGTTCTTGCATTCAAGTGTTCCTCTTGCCTCAGCTTTTCCATTTTTGGTAGAGACAGGGTCTTGCTCTTGCTCAGGCTGGTCTGGAATCTTGAGCGCAAGCAATCTATTTGCCTTGGCTTCTCATAGTGCTAGGATTATAGGCGTGAGCCATGATGCCTGTTTTTTTTTGTTGTTGTTGTTTGAGACAGAGTCTTACTCTGTCACCTGGTTAGAGTGCAGTGGTGTCATCACAGCTCACTACAACCTCAAACTCCTTGGCTCAAGTGATCCTTTTATCTCAGCCTTCTAAGTGGCTGAGGCTACAGTTGTACTCCACCATGCCCGGCTAATTTTTTCTGATTTTTGTAGAGATGGGGTCTTGCTCTTCCCTAGGCTGGTCTTGAACTCCTGGGCTCAAGTGATCTTCCCATTTTGGCCCCCCCCAAAGTGCTAGAATTACAGGTGTGAACCACCATGCTCAGCCAGCTACTGTTATTATACTTGCCTTCCAGAAAAGAGCAGGGGAAGGAGCAGTGAGGACCAGCATTCTTCCCTGTCTCTCCTGTTTAAGCTGGGCTTCCCTCAGAAAGAAGGGCTTAGATCCAGGGAGTTTATTCTGGGAAGATCCCAAAAGCAGGTGAGAGAGTGAGGAAATGAATCTGGGAAGGAGGGAAAGCCAGTGCAAGGCTGTGTCATCAAACTGGCCACCTCTCAGGATAACTTGGGCTCTATCCTGTCAGAACCTTCCAATGAGTCATGTAGAACACTCTTCAGAATTGTCCACCCAAGAGAAAGGTAATCTCTTGGATAGGAGGGGGATTGGGAACATTTACTCACTGACTCCTGCCCCTCCCTCATGGATCAAAGTATGTCCCTGGGGGTATTAGTCCCTTGGCACATCCAGGTTGTGCATGCATGAGGACTGGCCATGCCAGGAGTGTCAGGGATGCTCCCTGGATGACACGGAGAACTCCACAGAGCAGCTGAGCTAAGGCTGTCTGGGTACACAGGAAGCCAGCTGCCTCAGTGATGCTAGAGAAAAAAGTGGGCTGAGGGGATTATCAATTGGGGTACTCAATGGGTCCAATATACTCCCAATTCTGAGCTTCTGGGGCGGTGCCTGTGGCTCAAAGGAGTAGGGCGCCAGCCCCATATGCTGGAGGTGGTGGGATCAAACCCAGCCCTGGCCACAAACAAACAAACAAACCAATTCTGGGCTTCTAGAGGCCTTCTGGGGTCAGGCATCATGTGGTCATGGCCATAGTGCCTGGGTGGAGGGAGCACTGGCTCCAGTCTTAGGAAGGATACAAAAGTTTCTACCACTGCCGTGGTGTCCAGGCTAACTAACTCTCCACCCTGTTCCCATTGAGGTCTTTGGGGTCGACACCTGGTCCTCCAGCACTGGTTGGGAATCATTGACCAGGCTGCATGTATATATATGGTTATCATACATGCAGGCAGCGTCCCAGCACATGTCCTATGCTCAGCAGGGATAAAGTTAGGAGAATTTTTTCTCTCCCTCCCAGCCAGAGATATGAATAGGAACTACCTAGATACCCAAGGCTGCTCCTGCCTGCAGGGGTCTTACCCAAACCCACATTCTATCTATATATATTACAGTTTCAGGATACTTGGTGAATGCTAGCCTGCAAACATCTTGCTAGCCTGCAAGTCAGAGCGAATGTACCTCTTTCTTTAGACAGATGTGGCCCCACACCAGGTCCTGGCAACTAGAGAATAGGCTGGATTTCACCCTCTAGTTGCATCTCAGCTGGGAAGCTTTGTGCAGTGAGAAACCTGTGCAACTGCCCAGAGTGCCCCACCTACCAATCAGTGGTTGGTAACCTTTTTACAATAGCACACCAGTTTGATTATCCCCTATACATGCTGGTTGGGAAAGATGCAGCCTCCTAGGCCCAGATTTTGGGACACTGGTTCCCACTGTCATGGATTTTTGATCCCACCCCAGCTCTGTTGCCTTAGCAAAGGTCACCTTCAAGCGCAGCCTATGCCTAGTGAGGTGCCACCTTACCCCTGTCCTCTGGCTCCTATCTACAGTGAGCAACCAAAGCCTGAGAGACTCAGGCATCCTCCCCTTGGGTGTTGGCTTAGCATCAGTCCCTCGTCCTCCACAGCAGCCCGGGACATACCCCACATGGTTGGGTGGGATCAGGTCTATGGGAGCATGGTCTCACTCTCTGGGGGTGCCAGTATGCAGAGAGGTTTGGAGCCCAGGTTGGATTCAGATCACCTGACCCAAACTCCGGGTCTACCACTTACCAGTTTTGTGACTTTGGACAAGTTACTTCGCCTTTCCAAACCTCAGTTTCCCCATCTGTGAAAAAAGGGATAGTAATACCACCCACTTCTCAGGACTGTTGTGAAGATGAAATGAAATGATCATGATGATAGCATTTAGCACTGTGCTCTGAGTGGAGAGACCTCGCAGTAGCCACAGGTTGTTTTCGTGACCCAGACAGCAGGGTGCCTCTCACGGAACCCAGCTGGGTTTATCCTACCCCTCCCCTGGCTCCCCTACAGGCTCTGTGGTCACAGCCTTCTAGGACTGCTACCTGGTTGTGTACTTCACACTGCACAGGTTCAAAGCCCCCTGGCTGGATCCCTTCCTTCTAGCTCCTTGGGGCCTGTCCTTCTGGTCACCTGGCCACCTCCTCTGGGTCATGCCTCCTGGGCTTGCTGACCTCCACCCCCCCCTTTCTGCTTTCCCCTCTGGTCACACTCAGCCTTCTCCCCGCTTGCTCCCTTCTCCAGTTCACTCCCCTCTCTCCCCTGAGATTCTTTCTGTGGGTAGAGTGGGGGGTGGGCTGGCAATAAACAGGAGAGACATTCTAGATGTGGTTTAGAGAGAGAGACAGAGAGAGAGAGAGTAACAGAGCAAGGTAGAGACTGAGTTACACACACAGGCTGCAATGACAGAGACTCAGAGATAAAATTGAGGGAGGAGAGCTGTTGACAGAGAAAAAGAACCCGAGAGACCAGTCTATTGAACCAGAGACTGAAGAGCTTGGATACCAAGTTTAAGATTCAAGGGGCGAAGGGAAACGTGGGAGGCAAAGAGAGAGCCAAAGACACTCTGAGACAGACAGAAACCCGAAGAGAAAGTAAGACAGAGGGGGCTGAGGAGGAAGGGCCTGATGGAGAGTCGAACGAAGTCTGGAACGCACAGACACACAGGTTCTGAGGGACAGAGCATGGGGAGAACGATTGTGCTTGTCTCTGAGCCCAAACTGGTATCCCCCAAGGGAGTACTTGGCTGTTTGATACTTCCCTGATGCAACTCCCCCTAACCCCCCGCAAAGAAAAGTGGAGGCATCCTGGGAAAAGAGAGTCTGTGTCCAGGACTCCTGGTTCCAAAGGATGCATCCCTGGCCCCAGGCCCAGGCCCCAGGCCCAGGCCCCAGGACACAGGTACTTGGCAGAACTGAGGGGAGTAGACCTGGGACTCCAGCTCTCCATCAAGCCCAAGGCTCAGCCTTTCCCCGGGGATCCCCTACTCACGCTGGGGCCTCTGTCCTGCCTGGCCTCCCCGTGCTCGCGCTGTCCTCTCCTCGTCAAGGCAAGTTCCTGAAACTGGCTGCAGTCTGGTGTCTGTCCTTGAGCCTGTCGTTAATGGCTCAGCCTCTGACAGGCCCCAGGGCTGGGGATTGCAACACCTTCGCAGCCTCCCTCCTGCCCTCCCTTGTGCCTTCGTGGGCACAGGCAGCCCCTTCCTCCCAGGAAAGAGCCTGTGAGGGAAACTGGTGAGGCCCTGGCAGCCTTCCTGCCTTGGGGGTCTTAAGGGGCTGAGGAATGTGGCAATGAAGTCCCCCTCCCCTGCCTCCGGATTTCCTGAGCTCAAAGTTTTGAGGCTGGGCAGGGCCCAGGCTCCAACCTGGCTGGGTGCCACCCCTTACCCCCTGCCCTGGGGAGCATCACTTGGAGACAGAACCTGGCTCAAAGGCTCACTCAGCCCCAAGCCTCCTGTTGGCACTCGTCTTGGGGTCCTCATCCTCATAGTACTGAGGAGGGCATCATCCAGGTTCCAGGGAATTTTATAACACAGTACCCTCTTTCTACATATTTCCTACCATCTAGAGCAGTGGTTCTCAACCTTCCTAATGCTGCAGCCCTTTAATACAGTTCCTGTGCGTCACGACCCACAGGTTGAGAATGGCTGATATAGACTACCAGGGAAATGGGGACTCTGGGGACAAGGTGGGGGGATGTTCATCTGTTCACTCAAAGGGAGTTCATGTGTTTATTCAAAATTAGTAATGTTTTGAGGCACAAGGTCTTCATAAGTTTACTAAAGATTAGTAATGGGCAGCACCTGTGGCTCAGTGAATAGGGAGCCAGCCCCATATACCGAGGGTGGCGGGTCCAAACTCAGCCCCGGCCAAGCCAAACC